AGGGTGAAATGTTTCATGTATATTTACTTGTATTTGACAGAAGACAGATTGTGCTAATATTAGACGAAACATATCGAGCTATAACTTTTTATGTATCTCTAATTGTTACTGATAGAAGACGGACTGTGATAAAGCTAGAGTAATCATATGAGGGTGAAATGTTTCATGTATATTTACTTGTATTTGACAGAAGACAGATTGTGCTAATATTAGACGACACATATCGAGCTATAACTTTTTATGTATCTCTAATAGTGGCTGCTAAATGATAAACTGTGGTGTATTTTTCATAACATAAACAGGCTGCAATTTTTTGGACCTCTAATGGTGACTAATAAAAAAACATCTTTATCTATGCATCTTTAACAATCACCAAAAATCAGACAATATTATTTTTTTCACAGATTAGAAAAAAAATGTCTATTATTCACATTTAGGTATTTAACAATTTGATTTTTTAAAGTAAACAAAAATGCAGCAGAGTTCCATAAATATCCAATAGAGAGTTATGTTACATCGATATTTTGTGGTTCGCAAATAGAAATATATATATATAGGTGTAAAACTAGTGCTTTGTTTTAGCCATAATCTTGAAAATCAAACTTTTGCAAATGATTGTAATCATTACAATATTGGAAGGAAATGTGGTCTATCCATTAACATCTTTAAAGGACAGACTTTATGCTCAGTCAAGTAAAATAAATTGAAAATGCAAAACAAAATATGCTGAACAGTAAACATAATAATACAATTTACTGATATTTTTTTATGCATAAAGTTCGGAAAGTGGTGCTATTATGTATTATTTCACGCTCATTCGGTGACCCTATGACATAATATTTCACGCTCAGTCGGAGGAAATATTGTGTAATATTTCACGTTTACTCGGTGGTACTATTACGTACCATTTCACGCTCACCCGGTGGCGCTATAACATAATATTTCCCGCTTACTTGGTGATGCAATTATGTACTATTTCACACTTACTCGGTGTCACTATGAAGTACTGTTTTACACTAACTTGGTGGTGCTATTAAGTGCTATTTCACGCTTACTTGGTGGTGGTATAATGTACTATCTGCCGATCACACGGTAGTGCTATTACATGTTCTTTCACGCTTATTAAAATGTCCGTATCTATGTTATGACTACGTTCGCAAATCTAATGGGTTATTCGGAAAGGAACTGGTTGTGAAAATATATGAAAACATCATCAATACTTAAGTATAATATATGGACTTCGTTTAATGCTTGTTATTCTTTCCATAAAAAGTAGTGGAACAAAAATGATCCTATCAAATAGTCTATATTGAAGAGCCTGACTACGTATAAACTTTCCACCTTCTT